GCTCGGCAGTCAGATATCCGCTTCTGTCTTAAGTCTGAATAGTTTCAAGCAACAAGCAACACAAGCTTTATTTTGCCTCTCTAGGATTTGCCCTAAGCTGAATTTGGTCACGCAATATCGTGAAAATTTATGTCAACCAGAAGGATTACTTACTCATACGCTGTCCTCAACTACTTGGTCATAGAGGTTTCGTTACCTACAACTTATCTCACTACAAGGGATGTGGTAAGAAAAAAACGGATATGGAGGTCCCATTATCTGACACTACTATTCAAAGAATGTCCTATAAATGCTCGACAGTCAGATATCCGCTTCTGTCTTAAGTCTGAATAGTTTCAAGCAACAAGCAACACAAGCTTTATTTTGCCTCTCTAGGATTTGCCCTAAGCTGAATTTGGTCACGCAATATCGTGAAAATTTATGTCAACCAGAAGGATTACTTACTCATACGCTGTCCTCAACTACTTGGTCATAGAGGTTTCGTTAGAGCAGAATTTAGCTGACTGAAGCGTTTCTGCAATGAAATGACAATGCAAGCCGGTGATCAATAACTGATCAGGATCGTTAGAGCGGCATATGTCACTTGTCAGGTTAAGACATTCACTGCTTATGTCTAAATACAGAATTCTGTTCAAACACCCGGTTGAATAGCGAGGAGGAAAGGGAAGCAGTCACAGTCAAGCTGAGGGCTATGGGATCTTCGATCCTCTCTGGGTGCTGCTCACACAAATTTCCTTGCATATGGTTGGAAACCCTGCAAGACACCAGTCTCTTTTGTTAGTGGGCTATCACTTCTCAGCTGAACTACGTTTGTCGATGAATTTGGGGCTTATGTTGTGTCCTTCCCGCTAACAGTATCATATTCCTGTAAAATACTCAGACGTCAGAAGAAAACAGATAGCCTTCGAATAATATATAAATGCACGCAGGCAAAGAAGAAATACCCACCCAACTGCGCACTGATGATGTCTCCTCGTATGGTGACGAAACGCTCGCAAGCCAGTTGCCAAGCTCGGCGAACAGATCAACAGCCACCTGATCAGCAACCAATGAACTCACCCGAGCTACCAATATTTCAACGCATTACCAACTGAGAGATGCTTATTCCAATTCTGTTCAAAGGCATGGATACCTTATTCTTAGTTGTCTTCCCTAGGAACCATAGGTTTTTTATGCACGAAACCCCATCCTTTACATTTATTCTCACTCTTAATGAGGCGTTCTTTCCTAATGGCTTTTTGAAAACCTAGTGCCCTCACTTACTGCCTGTGACTGATGCAGACTATGACTGTGTCGCTTTTAGCGTACACAAATCCCGTCTATTTGATCTAGCTATTGAGGGCCAAGTGTTCCAATTAACCAGCTACAGTGGACCTGCTATTATTCGAATAGAGGATTCCAAGGTAAAGAGGTACTCAAGTCGAATGCTGTTTTCTCTTACAAATTAGGTGTATACTCAATCCCAAGCACTGATGATGATATTCTGAACTTGAATTTGAACTTGATCAGTCTATTTTATCTGGTTTTGAGCAACATACAACCCACCTGTGTGCTTTCTTGCGTTCCGAACTAACGTCATTCAAAAATTTGCAATCAAATCCTTTAAACACGAGTTATTTCACCGTATTTATCTAGGGATTACGGGGTTCGTGGTTCTTCTTTGGAAGTTGAATCTTTCTTTCGGGTAAACTCTGCAGGGACAGTAAATATATAAATCTGACTGCAAGTGCCTGCCCTGAACCCTCTGGGGGAATAGGCCGTCTTCTGTGCATCCATCTTTCTTGGAAGGAAGTTCCAGTGAACCTCATTAGCCTAGGCGATCAGACTGTTTCATTTTAGAGACAGCCTATCTTCACCAGCACAAACCTGAGGCCGGGACATTTCGCTTTTCCACTCAAAGCATACGTTCGCCTAGGGCACGCTCCCTCAATTGGAGCACCACATGTCATTACATTGCAGTCCAGAGAATCGGAAACAAACTTGTGCTTTTAGATCCTGAAACAGTCACCAGGTAGATATTATGGTATGAGATTTCGGTCTCATTTGTAAAACAGTGAGGATCGAAAACTCCTTTTTTCATGAAATCGTGGGAATCGGCAAGACTGCCACACAGTATTCAGCATTTGCCCTGCAGTTAGACGCATCAATTTCGAGTTTTCAACCGTAAACTGCGTGTTCCTCGTATGTACAGACAGCCAACCCACCGACAAAGTTTTTCGAGCCTTCACTAAGGGCAATGCCATGCGTATTTGTCACTATAGTAGTCGTCGGATCATTGTTTGCCACTTTCCTGTGCCACTGCATCGATCGTACATCGACCACTCACCCCAGCTCCCTCGCCTATCTGACTTGGACGTGTCATCCGTACACCACACACACACACACACACACACACATGTTCAGGCCTTCTTGTCGGAACAATCTAGCTGTACGGTTTCAGCCTGCCTTGTTGATTCATGGTCTGACCCGTACTTTTGTTATGCCGTCGAACAAACCTAGTACTCCAAACAGTATTGTGTGCGCAGTGAGTGGACTTTTGGTAGCAGCCCGGATTAGGCCGGCTGCAATCACAAGCATACTGTTTTAGTTCTGGTTATCACTATTATGAGGCACACCTGTTTAGAATCCAAAACGTTCCGCCTATGTCTTGCTTCATACCTCACCAAGTTGGCTTCATCCGCTTATCAGAAAAAGCTCCCGAGATCGCAAACCGAATTGCCAGACGTGGACACTTTGAACTACGAAGCACATCGTAAGAGTTTGTTACACAATATCCGAACGGTTCGATGACATCCGTATCTAAAGCCACCAACCTGTTCTAAGGACCTACTATCTGACAGGGTCACTCCATGATGGGAGAACCAATGTGACCCGCGTTTCAAATTACTAGAAACTAGTGTGTCCGATGTATCGCTGTGAGAGGGTAGCTGCATAGGGATAGCTTTCCCTTCCTCGTAAGTTTCAAATCGATCTAATATGCCACGACGACCAGGACTGCCGTCGCACTACGTTTGTGAGTTTCGATTACTTTCAGCTTACTCATTGGGTCAGTGTGATGAAGAGCCAGTCAGGAGTTGATGCGAGCGTTTGACTGTTATGCCAACAACCATTGTGCTACCCTGCCCACAAGTCTGACATGAACTGTAATTCCTTCTTATCTCCTCACGATTCAATCGTGACAGTTTCAAATTTCAATCCACACTGCTTGTCGCCCCAAGTAATACCAAAAGCGATAAAGTACGATGTTGTAGTCGACCAAGAGAAGCGTCTCCAGATGAGACGTGAGCCCTCAGTCGGTTGTGACCTTCAATGCAATCCAAGGCAAACAAAGTTCATATGTAGCAAAAGCCAAAAAGCTTTACCCGTACTATTTTCTCTTCGGTTAGACAACTGTCAGTAACCTCCCGGGGATATTTTTCCTGTAGCGGGATGGCTTCAGGTGCCATACCCATGGGGCAGTTGTTCTGGAACCCAAGTCTGTACTTGCTGAAGCCTGACTTCCACCAAGGAGCTCAACTTGTACCCACAGATGATTTGGACCTTTTATTATTCAGGATAATATTGATTGAACCAGGCATTTACCGTGTCCCAGCTTCCGAGGTTGCATGATGTTGACATCATTTGGCTGTACCAACGAAGTCTTGAAGTCACTATCATGAAACATCTTGAAGATTTGTCGAATGGCTTGCTAAGCATGCTGCATTTATTCCAAGTAAGGATTGCTATCTTACTAAATCAATCAGACCAGGAACCCACGTAATGAAATCCATCTTTATTATTCATGTCATGTTGCGGTCTAGATATATCAGCTCCATATGAACATCGTGTTTCTGTCTGTACTTTACACGTACTGAACCCAAACGAATTAGGCTCTAGCGGGATTCTAACGGTAATCGGTTAAACTTACCAGAACGCCGATTTCAGTCTATATTCAGGATGTCAAGACTGTGGTAACCCTTTACATGTTGAAATAACTAGATGGTACAATGGTTCACTGTACTGTACAGTGCATACAAATGGTCAGTGTAATTATCTTGAAGACATTATTTCGTTCAACAGAAAGAAAACTAGACGACTTCTGGCTAATCTAGCCGCGTGATTCTGTTCGAAGGACGCACCGAAAGTTGAGCTAAAGCAACTCAAAGACATGTTCACGTATAACGGATACCCGATCCGGTTTGTGGAAAAACTTTGCAGCAAGTACCATGTGAACCAAGATTATCATCAGCTGAGAGGAAAAAATATTTGCCATTCAATAATGACCCTATTGCGGAAATTATATCGCGGAAAGTTCGAACGGGCATCAAAGCGACTCATGTAGCTGCAAATTCATGGTAACGTTTTGAAGGAATTCTGTTCTGATCTGTCGATAACCAGATTTTGTACGTTCTCATTCGAATGCCTGTGCTGATCACCATAAATTGGTAGGGCATAAAGCGACTGCCTAATAAAATCCGTATACAATACTCAGCTCGGCCGGTCTGTAAGGTAAGAAGACTCAGTTCCCGGTCAGCTGCTATGCATTTGACTGATTCGAATCACGCTATCTTTCCTAATGAAGCATCCATGGTTGTGTAACGAGTTTTGTCAAATCGATCGAAGTTTGCTTGAACTCGGATGCTTGCCGTTTTTGAGGTGATATCCACCTGGCTACATAAATTCGACTTCCTTACGCAAAAGTGGTCCATAGATTTACTAAAACTCAACTGACCGGCAACACTTGCGAACCGGAGCGGATCCACAATGGATAACCCTTAGCTTGTGATCTTTAGCTCCTGCGCAGTGAGCAACTTACTATCAAAGAAATTTATTTTAATTTGAGTGTCTGTTAGCCATCCCCTTCATGTGTATTGTGTTGTAACTTATATGCGGACCAGACGCAGAAAACAATATTTGTTTCCTACCTTGTTATTGTAGTGTCTCATGGTCTAATAGAGTTTTTGGAGCAGTTTTCGATTACTTGTGAGTAGTTGGAGTATCTGCTTTGTTCATAGCCTAATTATTCTTGTGTGAACAGCTTTTTATCCTGGCGCCAATAATATTCTTGTTGGTTCACACGATGGAAGCGCTGAACCCGAATTTCGGTTTTATCAGAGCTCGTTGGCTTCGCATAACACTGACCACCTCGGAATTCTGATTTGCAAGACGAACATGTTATCGCCACCCCACCGGCAAACGCTGGACGAACAAACACTTTGATGAACTGATTGTAGAAATTAGCGAATATACACTCATTTGCAAACTCATTTAGTTCTGTGAGAGACTCACCTGGAACCCAGCTGATGATGTTTCAGCAACCTTATGCGTAATGCATTACGAATATACATTTATCGCGATACATCGAACATCGTATCAACTGAAACATGAGGCGACCTGGTGCAGCACATTCAGTTACCTGGAAACATCACAAACAAGAGATTCAGCTGGGTCTAAGTGAGTCAATCAGAAAACCAAATTTGTTTGCAAACGAGTGTATTTCTCGAAAATGGTTCAGTTTGGGTTCAAGTAGAACATAAGGTTGACGGAAACTCGGGGACTGCACGTACCCGAAGAGCCGCAAGAAGGGCGAAACCGGTCGTGGGCTGTTGACAAATTCTCAGCAACCTAATGAGTAGTGCAAAATGGAAGTGAATTTCCCGCATACAAGCCGACAACAGTGTTGCACGAAGATGCCTAGGTACTTACGGACAGTTCAACTATGAAATTACTTTAAATATCAATCAACCAAGTTATACCAAGCGACTCAAGGTTGCCAGGCTGTGGAATAGAAGTTACAAGACCAACAGACAATTAAGGGACAACAGACCGAGGCAAGGGGAAATCCTGGCGATTATTAGGCGATAGATGGGCCGAAGAGCTGGTGAACTGGGTGAAGAACAGATGAAAGATGATCGTCCAAAGTGAAACCCACCACACTCTTAGAGACATGTTCCAGTTAACTGGCGAGTATTTCTTGGATATCACCCGGGAGAGGATTGGCAGACATTGATTCTCGTGGAGAGCACATGGGCAACAGAAAAACGCTGTGTAACATTAAGAGGAGACACAAAGCGTTCGCAGTCCCATAGCATAAAATGCTAAATATCGAAATTCATATAACCATCTTGGATGTGTGGAGCCACGCCCATGTGTTCTGGTGTAGAATATGCGGGAACGGAGACATTGAGAACAGAAAGGGACTGAAATCTACTGAAGAAAACATTCTAATGTTGACCGGAGGAATATTGCATCGAAAAAATTTTCTCGGAATTTTTGAGACGGTAGGAAATAGAGGGTGTTTTCCTGACCACCTGACAGTTTCGCGAACTGCCGAAGAACAAGAGTTATTAGACGAAAAAGATGGCAAATTGTATGCCATTGCATCAGCTGGCTACTCATTCGATAAAACACCATCAGGTTTATTGATTCTGACAGAGAAAAAACCACGTCCACGATCAAGCTCGAAGTCTTTCGCCTGTTGTGAAGTAAAGATTCACATGTGTCCAGCACGCGCTGTTGGGATAGTGGTATAGTAGGCTCGCGTCCGGAGTTTAAACCCCTGTATGGCCAATGACATATACTGCCGATAAGCTCTAATACGAGCGAAACTCGAGTCCAGTGCTTTTCCCCGTGGGTGTGAACTGACCAGAATAATTGCCCCAGGACATGAAATTGACTGTTCAAATGAGAGCGATGTGAACGTGAATTCTACAAATCACACGACCAAGTGAAAAATTCGACAAGATCCTAATAAATGTCCAGTAGTCGTTAACTTGTTTCAGTGGTTTTCATTTTCGGTCAGTTTTACATCATTTCAGTAGTTGAATCGCTCAGTTTACGGACAACTGTCTCGTTCTGCACAAATAAAGATTGATGTAACATTACTAATTGCATTGAAGTCCATGGTCCGCGATGAACGGTTGGACTCATTTCCATAAACTGGAATGTGCCTCTGATATATTTCGTTATGCTGAAGAGTATGGCCATTACGTGTTTAATGTGACAACCTGGAGTTAGTGAACATTGAGATTACACTGATAGGCAATTCAGACGTGACAGCCCCACCGTTCCGCAGAAATAAGTCACGCAAATGGTCACAGGTGAACCGAAAAACATCGAGATTTCCGTCATTCCACAAAGCCACTGCCACAGGAGCCTACAGGAGCAAACTCTGTGAGTCACAGACAGGGTGATCTAGGATCCAAAGTGTCACACACATCATGTTGCGTCAGTGTGAATTACCGTCCCTATGCACGTTTTTCCACGGGAGCATCTCGCAGAACCATAAAATCGTTCGTTCATTCTCTGGAAATAGGGTTCCACTGAACGCTTCCATTTTGAAGGTGCGACTTACTATCAAATCATGTCTGGCCACATTGCTTTCAACTATCCATCCTTAAAAAGAACGCAAAAGCAGTCCGCAATTTTCATCTGAGCACCTAAATTCCAAGGCAAGTGTTGCTCAACTCGATTTAGCGCGGTCTAGCTGGATTTCGAATGAATACAGTACTACTGCATTCTTCGAGATCCACCAGCGTGGAGAGTCCCATGCTGTCCAGACTTCGCCAAGATACTTGCTATGATGCCACTCTTCCAAGTGTGATATGCAACTGGAAAATCACGGAAAACTATCCATCCATTTATCTGATTTACCTGGTATTCACACAGTTTGTCGCAGATTTCCTCGAATGTCCTGCACCCTCTACCTGGAAAGTGTTGTAAGAAAACGGTTGTACCTTGGATGCTTTTGTGATTGATAGTGCACCGTATAGCGTCTTGCGGGAATTGGATGCAGAAATAAAGTCGTGTTAATGCCAGACACAATGGCGTCTTATTTGCGCTGGGGCACATTTATCAAAGGTCAAAAACTGCCAACCCAATGTCATTCAGTAAAGTCGGTAACTACAGTGGTGGATCGGTTCCCACGGTGGGTCTGGTTCCCACGGGTAATTTTGTTAGACAAAATTCGAAATCACTGGGGGCGCGTAGAGCATGCTTACAATTATAGCCAAAGAGTGTGAGCATTTGGGCGTAGATCATAAGGTCGTCGTATCACATTTCTCCAGTTTGAGTGGGGAACGGTGGGATGCAGTCATCCGGATGAACCAGTCAATATGGTGAGTGAAAAGTCCACTAAATGATTCTTAGCCATGGTGGTTAACTGTTAGAGAATGAACTCATTGCCGAGGTGGCGCGCAAATACAGCCTACGGATTCTCTGAATCTTATGCGTGCACGGTTGCAACAACTCACTGTCTATCAGTAATGAAAAAGAAGAGAACTGGAATCAAGGCTGTGTGCGTTCCCGGCCAGTCACAGAGTACTTGTTTTTGCCCTAATGACCCTGCCTGAAGGTAAATCGCCAAAAAATTTTGTTTTCCGAACACCCTTTTCTTCAATGTTTCATTATTATCTCCAATGATAACGCCGTTAGCGAGCCGATCAGAGTACCAAGTGTTGTCAACGCGCCCACTGATACAGCTGGGCGCCTCTTCTCGTACAGACGGTTCGCCTTTCAACTTGGTAATTTATTCTGCGTCCTGCTTGAGTTCACTGAACTTTCCGCAGCGCACGCTAGTGAATACTTTTCATGTAAAATCGAACCTCCAATATTTTTTTGTCGGAGCACGGTACTTGCTTGCACTAAAGTATCACGTGCGGGAGGATTTAAACTGGTGAATCCTGATTTGGAGACTCCAGTCTGCAGAAAGGTGCATCTTTAGGTATGACGTACGAGCAGCTCTTCAAAAATGACTGTTCCACGTTTCGTTACCATTTCAAGTAAGACATTTGATGATAAGATTCACAACATTTCACTAGAACAGATTAGCGCTCTTTTACAAGAACGGTTGACTGTGTGCTGACTGATCACAAAAGCATCTTTCTAATATTATAACTGTGACGGAGGGGATGAAGATGGTGTTGACGATGTCCATTTCGGTGATTATGAAGAGCAAGAGCATGACCACGGTTTGAATGGTGACGATGTTATGAAGCGTGAAGAACTACAAAATTGCGCTGAAACAGAACTGTTTTTATACTTCATCTGCGACTGACATTTCCGACCTGGTGCGGTCACTGGTATGACAATATACCGACGGAACAATATGTTTCAAGTTGTTCCTGTTTCTGTCTGGCGGCTAAATTGTAGAGGCACAGGAAGCACCTGTTATATCTCGCCAAATTCGTGGACATACCCACCATTGTTATCATTATCAGTGACAGCAGAAACACGAGCAAATAAAAGTCGAGTGTGCATCTATTTCCTAGCAGATGAGCACCGGGAAGCATTGTACATCTCGTGGTCTTGATTTACAAGGCAATTTTGAACATAGGCCTCGAACAGAGGGTCGTTCGAGGTCACTAGAATCGACAAATGTCCTCGCGAGCAATAATTATCTCGAGATGTCCTAATGATAATCTAATTACTGAAGGCTATTAAGGAACTGTAAATTATTCCGCGTTACGTCCAGCAGGGGGAGATCGTTTTTATCTTTCACGTGAAGTAACAAGTTCATTTAGTTTATGCTAGGTCGTCTCCGCAGTGAGCTCGACGGAGTTGAAAGAGTTCAGGCGCTGTGGGTTGTTGGTTCGTTGTAAAAAATGTCTCTGACTAGACAGTGGATAGACTGAGCGAAACCGTCCCACGTCCCGACCTTTCTCAAGGGAAAAATAGCTGGCATTGAAGTCTTTTTAGCGCAGCTAGCCATAGTGTGGTGTGTGCTGTGACTGGTGTCCTGCTGCTTGCGCGCGCGCATGTTTGTTCCAGTACGTATGGTTCACACCTGACCTTGGGGCTAAGTTGATTCGCCCGCGGCCCGTCATGCCTGTGTCAGGTGTGTATGATTAATGGGGCCGAATAAAATGGCAGATAACTAAATCACTGATGCAGCACAGTACGTCTGTTCATGCGGATTGTAGTTTTGCTGCCGTATCGTTATCGAATATGACCTTACCGCCTCCAGCTAATGCATTTAGTTCGATGGCCAAGTGCCGCCCCACTTTGTCCACTTGTGTTTCTTGGAGTGGCACCCAGAGTGACTTTTGGGTACGCTGACTCGAATCTTCATTTCTCAGCTTGTTTGTCCCATGCCAACATAGTGGCAATAGGCACAATCAATCCTGCGGACACAGTCAGCAAGGCCGTCGAGATTAGGTGGTTCTTTCGTGGTTACCAGTTGCCCCGCACCTTTTCTCCCATTTGGAAAGTTGTGTAGATGCTGAAGCTGGGCAGTACGCAACGGATACTTCCATGCTACCGACGCGGACTCCTAATCGTGTCAGTCGGTTCATTTAACCTACTTGAATGATTTAGCTACTCAGTAATTGTAGGTAGTGTACATTAATGCCACAATGTTTGCTTCGGGTGTCGTATAACGGTTAAACTCAGCTATATCATACCAGTTTTTCATGAAAATGAACAAGAATTTATTGAATACGTGAGCAGTACTGGAACATACAGACCTTGCAACATTAGCAGACGAAATACGGAAATATTTGCATTCTTTAACTCGATAAATGCAAAGGGGGAAAATGTTTAAAATGCTCCCATCCGATAACTTCCTAAGAACTTTTGTCAAGTCATAGAGGAAGGATTCTCGCAGCAAAGTACAGCACAAGAATGCTGAAAACCCTTTGACAGTCAATGACCGGTTTCCTCCTTCTTGGGGCTCATCAGGTAGGCACAGTCCTAGAGTTTCCGTCAACTTTATGTTCTACTTGAACCCAAATTTCATGAACTGAGCGCAATGTGCTCATTCGCATACGAATTTGGTTTTGACAGGAGACTCATCCAAAACTCAGATGAATCCCTCGTGTATGATTTTTCGGGTGAGTTTTCTGCCCAAACCAAATTGGCACGCAGTTGAGTGTATAAGCCGGATTACACTCATTTCTTATTCCGAATAATATAGCACACGTGGCTTCCATTTACTTTACTAATTTGACAAACTCCGATCTTTGATTGAACAAGCCGCATGGCTTGGCATTCTATTAGGGTATATGTATACCGAAAAGTACTGTATTGTATGGTCCCTATCCACATCAGGACCATTAGCCACTTTTTCCAACAAAGTGGGGATATACATCTGGTTATCCCTTCTTATATTGGTAATTCCAGTAAGCAAGATGAGTAGTGAGCACAGAGAAGCAAGTACATCATATTTTGCCAAAATTTCCGTCGTCACAAATATCTATCCCCATGGGTGGTTGAACACACGTAGATCGCTCCAGGCTAGTCGTAGGTTACATCATTCTGTCCGTTGAATTATTTGTGCGGGAAGTGGAAGTTACGAGTGTTGTATTATCCGGAATAAGAAACGAGTGTAATTCAACCTATACACTCAACTGCATACTGATTCGGTTTTTACGGGAAACTCACCTGAAACATCATGAACGTGAGATTCAGCTGGGTTTCAGGTGAGTCTCCCATCAGAACCAAATTGGTATGCAAACAAGAGTATTTCGCTAAGTTCGTGCAACTGGTGTTCAAGTAGAACATAAGGTTGACGGAAACTCGGGGAATGCATGTACCTGATGAGCCTCAAGGAGGACAAAACCGGTCGTTGGTTGTCGAAAAGTTTTCAGAAACGGTATGAGTAGTGTGTTACGTTTATACACGTATCGTGATATTTCGAATATCGTACCGCCTGAAACATGGAGCGGCCTGATGCAGCACATTCAGTTGCTTAAAAACACCGTAAGCAATAGATTGAGCTATGTTCCAGGTGAGTCTTTCGCAAAACCAAATTTGTTTGCAAATGCGTTTTTCACTAAGAAAGGGTTCTCATTTTCCTTTCAAAGTGAATGAATCGTTCGCACAACAAACCTGAGATTGGAGTTCCACCTATGCAATTAGATTCATGTCACAAGGATAACGAGGATGCGCAATCGCGCACAGGAAGAAAAGGAAACGAACTGCCAGGACATGGCAACAATTCGTGAAATTACGACTGAAATATGCTCTAAAGATAACAAAACTTCGTAAACTTGAGCAAACTGCAAAAACGCGAGAAAATTCGGAACTTTTTGCCTTTGGAACGGTAATAACAGGAAGCTTAGAAATTTGACGACCGACTTTTGGATCGAAAAGGTTGTAGCCGGCTTTAATAAAGCGGCTACCTTTCGATTCATGTGGCTTCCGAAGACTTCTAAGTGTGACCCGAAAACAGTAAAATCTTTGGCTTTGCTAGATCTCTCTAGATCCGCCTCGACAAGTTTCTGGCAGACGTTTATTTAAGAAATCAGGTAAAGCACATTACCAGCTGTGGTCTCACTTTTATGGACGAGCGTCTCTGGACACACTTCATGCGCTAACAACCAGTGTGGAACTTTAGCAAATAATGTAGAACTGGAATATTACCGAATTGTGCGCGCGAGTTATTGCTGAGACGTGAAGCAGAACTGCAGATAATTTTTTTCTATAATGACGTCGGAACATTCATTCGAGTGCACTGTCACGTAGACTAGGTTCAATCACAAGGCAGGTGAGCACAGACTCAGGCCAAGCTGTAATTATCACACGTGCGGATTAAAAAGTATCGGCAAGCGTATACATGGATAATGTCAATGCAAACGCTCGTACAACCTGACAAAAATAATGGTCAGAAACATCATACATTGGCAAGGTGATGGTGTAAATGCAGATAGAGGGTCACGGTTCTCTGCTATCAGACGTTGAGCTAAAATCACGAGACAGTGGAACGTCTAAACTACGTGCACGATTCCAGTTCGGGTCATCTGGCCAGAAACGCAAGTTTTTTATGAGTAACTTTCATTTTGACATCGTAGTGGCGTCTTGTGTTACGCAGAATGGGAGGAAAACACGAAAGGATTCTGAGCCGAAACCCGTTCAGTCACCGTTCAAAATATCATCGTGGAATCGCCGCAATGATTGGAAAGTACCTGTGTCTTAATAGCCGATCTACAATTTGTAGAATGATGGATCTATGTCTCATAAATTTTCCATTTCACCGAATAAACCAAGGCAAAGCAACGTGTAAAATACTGAAGCATCAAACTCCAATGCGTCACAAATCTTCTGGATCGATGAATGCATAATTTGGACATCCGATATTCAGTAATCTTCATTTTCAAATGAAAAGCACTGCGCAGAAATTTAGAGACTAGAAATACCACATAGTCTGGAATAGTGACAACCAACGTTGCTGCCGAAATTCAGCTATACAAAGATCAGCTGATATTGGATCAAAAATGTCGCTGATAAACCAGACCCCCAGGAAACATGTTGTGCCAGTAACACATGAGCACCTTTGTATGCAGAATTGGTTAGTTAGGCGACTGCACAGTGCTGGTCTACCGACAGACATTTGATTCTTGCAGGCTAACTGTGTGGGACCATCTGTAAGCTACAGCAAACTTTTTAAACCGACCCGTTTTGGTGTCGATGAGACTCATTTACGAAACGGTAATCGCCCTAGACAAGAAAAACAACTGTAGTCAGATTTTTGGTTTTTCTAAAGGTAAAGGAATTCAAGATGGCAAAGTTAGAACTAATGGCCATGTGGTGAATGATCATCTTCCTAGGGCACAAACAATTCATGCGTAATATTCTCGTGGCCCACTGAACAGAGGAACGAAGGAAGTCAAAACAAAATTAACTTTTCTAGGACAACGTGACTGATCTCGAAGTTTTTTTTAACATGGTATATATATCAATGGAATCAGTGTTCAATTACACTGACTATTCATTCTTAACATAAAGTATAACAGCGTCTGATAATTATCCGTTTTCCAGCTTTAAAAGGTGGTATTTTTGAGTGATTCGAAAGCGCTCACATAGACTGGGTAATGACTCGGTTACCGGAATTTGGTATGTTTCTGGTTAGGTATCAGTCTTTGCAACATGATGTGTCGAACACTTTCAACGTCTATGAAATAACCAGTAAAAACTCGTGATCCCCTTGTATGATTACGGTAGAAATACAGTGGACCACAAAAAGTCAACCACCGCTGCATCGACCTTCATGGAATTGGCCATCCCACAGTTCTTTCGTTGCAAATTTCTGCCTTCCCGTTTCTGTGTAATTCATCCTATACTCAATCTTTCCGGGCTGGAATTGTTGAAAGCATGTTTGTTCGAACCTCGAACCGTTTGTTGCGGTCACCGCAGATTTCAGTACTCTTGGTCTTTCGAACGATTGACGTCTTAGTCATCAGTGCCATAGTGCTTCTCGTCATTTCGGGTGGCGGAAGTTGGCCAGAGTTCTAGGAAGGTGTGGCTAAATAAAACAGATCGATTACCATAGTTAACGCATTCTGATTTTATCGCGCAAGTAGAGCCAACTTATACTGAGAGTCAAACAGTAATGCAGGGCTGATTTATCCTTATTCAGAGTCACAATGAACAAGCGGCTCACAAAACTCCAGGCCTATTCGAAACCAAAACTCTGCCGTTTATAGTTGGAGGTTGTATGAGTAAGCTACGGTCAGTTGATCACGGGCGGCTGAATTCCATTTTGGAGATCTAAAATTTCTTCGATTCCATTTTTTTTAGTTAGGTCGGCTTGATCAACTCAAATGTGAACTTA